AGGAGGAAGTGTGGTGGTAATGGAAGAAATAACAATAAAAGATTGAGGTGAGAAGATTTCCATGCGTATTGTTCTCCCCGGCCGCTGCTATCTAAAAAATACGACTACATTGAATATAATTACGATCGCAGTATGCCAGTGGTATCTGCAGATCTTTCATTGGGCATGTTAGGCCGCTCTGAATGAGATGCGCAGGACATATACTCAATGACTCCTGAGAGAACCGACTGAACAGTTTGCAACCAAGCCATATAAGCCCATTCTTAATAGCTGTTTCCTCTCAGCGCCGAGGGATTAAGGCGAAACTAGACACCTGCCAAAATTGGCCCTTGATGACTGGCAAGCCTTGAGGACATTTTCAATTATCTCCCATGGTGATAAAATAAGTGCTCTTCCATGTGTTTTCGAGATTCGGCATTGGTGATGGTCATAATGAAAGGAAAAAGGCCGTCCAAATGCCTTGCTACGAGGTCGGGATCGGATGGTGATGTATGCCACTTGATACATAGATATTCGAGGTTGTGTGTCATTATTCGTGAGGTTGGGGACAGGTTGGACATGACGTCGAGATCCATTCTAAGATGCCATATGCGAGGGCATTGCAAGGCGAGGATTTCTAGAGTTGTAAAGGTAGTGCGTAAAGCATTTTCACCTGGAGGTTTGCCGACCGTGCCCATTGACAGATATTCAAGGGCAGGCCATGCTTGTGCTATTTTCAAGAGAAGATCGTCCGACATATCCAATTCCATCGAAGTAGTTATCCCAAAATGTTTGAGACGGAGCTTGAACAGCGATTCCCAAGATGCTTTCGTCGGTGCCCGACCGCTTCGTATATCCAACCTCTCAAGTGTCCCAAAGAATTTTGATATACAGCTGTGAGAACATCCCATTTTGGTTCCACTTCCCGGAGGGTTCCTATTCCGTTGAATTTTATGATGGACAATTGGTTTAAAGGGATGCAAGAAATGGCATCAAGGACCCGTGCTTATTCCTGATGATAGTCCCCTGAGCGAGAGGGCACGCAGAGCTGTGGGTTGTGTTACTCCCAGCGAAGTGAGATCCAAGCGAATAGTAAGGTCGAGATGCAGCCGTTCTAAATACCAATGATTAAATACTGCACCCATCAAGTCAGGAGAACAAGCTATACGGCAGCACCATGCGAAAAGCGGAAGGTGCTTCAGGTTAATTGTGATCGAGATGTTTGAGGTAGCGAAAATTTTGCCCCTGAAGCGCTGAGGCTCTCGAGTAAGGGTACGTAGTCGACCAATGTGTCCAGGAAAGTCGCAAAATCGAAGTCTTGTCGACTGGGTCCAAAAATGTTTATGATGCGCAAGCTTGGCGACATGAAGAGAAGAATTTGCTATTTCAGTGGATATGCCAGTACGACGAGTGAGGGTAGCAAAGGTTCGCCCTTCAATCTATGTGTGATTTGGAGGCAGAGGGAATCGGACAGGATGTCCTCTTCGTGAGGAGCAGCGAACTCGGATCCATAGCTATCGCCTTCCATGTAGAACTGCACCAATTTGGCATAGAACCTCAAGCGGTCCATAGAAGACGGTGGTATACCGTACGACAGAACCTATATAGTAAATTATATGCATGTGAGAAACATTACGGTGATAGATTCAAGAGTAGACGAACGTATTGTCTATTTTCTTTCTTAAAGCCTTGGATAAGGGATAGCAAAGGCAATATTGACGTTTGGGTACGCCATAGGATATCTAAGGCAGGGTGGGTGAATGCGCGAAATGATCTTGCTGCTTTAGCCAATATTTGTATCGGCGTCGGCCTTGCGCGAAGCTCCAGCCACCCGTGTTGTTCGTTGTAAGGTCTCGACATGGATATCGGTCAACCAGTTATCTGAGGGTGGTGGTGGGAAATAGTCATATTATTGCCGGCGAGAGTGCCCGATATGCTCTAATATTAGGAAGACGATTTCTGGGATTGCCAGTGTGCGATGTGTAGCCGGGGGAATATAATCCATGGTGGCAATGTGGGTGGATGCGGATACAAAATAACTGTCATTATCCACGGGACAGTGATCAACACAACGGTGATCATGACGTGCCAGTTAGCAGGGCTCAACTTAATAATCTTACAACATTCAAAAGCGATACTGGGCGCACGAAATATGAGTTACATTTGATTATCGACCTTGATGTTTCCACACGAGACATTGTAATGGCCTCAACCGTTCGACATATTCCATTCAATTGGATATATCGTATCTTGACATCAGAGTACATCCGCTATGTGTATGCAATAGCCTGAAGAGATTATAAGTACATTCCGGGAAACATCAACCAACGTAACAGTGGTGGCTAGCCTCCATGCGATTATCGAGGGGTCAATACCGAGATATAGAGAAAGAGAGGATATTAGTACATAGGGTGGTCGTTGACCTGACCAGCCTATACATAAGGTGAGTTCAAGTGAAGTAGAGAGAGGGTGAAGCAAGACATACCATCTATTTCGCCTTGAGCTTGGCTTCTGCCTCTTCGAGTCTAGCCTCAAGTTTGCGCAACCTCTCTCGGTCTTCAGCGGCACGAAGTTTCTCCTGCTCCCAAAGGCTCTTGTAGAGGTCCTTCTCCTCCTTGGACCTGGCCTTCTCCTCCCCCACCCTCACTTTCTCCTCATCTAGCAGCTTGTCGGCCCTCACTTCGTCGTCCTTAGCCTTAGCCTTCTCCTCCCCTACCCTTGCTTTTTCCTCATCCAGCAGCTTGTCGGCCCTCGCTCTGTCGTCCTTAGCCTTAGCCTTCTCCTCCCTTACCCTTGCTTTTTCCTCATCTAGCAATTTATCGGCCCTCGCCTTGTCATCCTGGGCCCTTGCCTTCTCCTCCTTCAAAGCGTCTTCAGCCTTCTGCAGTGCTTTGCTCAAGTTCTCCACCCGCTCCTTCAAAGTCGCCTCACTGAGCCTCACTTTCTGCAACTGTACGGCAGACTTATAATAGTCCTCTAAACACACAGAGAGCTTAGTATTCAAGACGGACAAGGCCAAAATGGGGGAAGGATAGAAACTCACGAAAGGATTCAGAGTCGAGCGGAGGGTTAAAGTTCGAGATGCCGGAGCCGATTGAGGATATGCTCTCACGACGACCACCTAGAATTAGAACACGGGAGCATTGAGTAATATATGATTAAGAAAGAAGGGGCGAACGAACCTTGGAATTTTTTCTCGGAATTCCGGCTACTGCTTCTCTCGCGCCTGTTAGCCGACCCCGGCATCCTGCTCGACGGGCGGCTGTCGTCAACCCCACCCTTACTAGGGCTGCTGTTACTGGTACGGCTCTTAATCGACTTGGCAGGGGAGGGAGCGCCGGAGGAGGGTTGGCTGCCGATGCGGCTCAGGTTGGTGGAGGAATTGATTGAGGTGTCGCGGCTTTGGGGGATGGGGACTCCTGCGGCATCTAAGAAGTAGAATTGATGAGCCCGATGAATTTGAGCCAGAGGGAGGACAAGGTACCAATGGCTGAGGTGGCCGTGGATATGTTGCGGCTCAGGTTGAAGGAGGAATTGGCTGAGGTATCGCGGCTTTGAGGGAGGGGGATTCCAGCAGCATCTGAGATGCAATAATGAGGGAAAGTGATAAACAAGAGGAGGGAGGAGGGGGGCATACCAATGATTGATGTGAGGTTCATAGAAGCGGTGCCTTGGCCGACAGATATGTCGGCGGTTGAGACGTTGGGCGAGGCTAACCATTTATGCCACGGTCAAACCCCACAATAATTTGAAGAACGATAAAGCTTACCAGGGATGTTCAAGGAGGTGTCGCGAAGTTGAGGGAGTTGTGGGCCAGTGGCGAGCACCGCAGTCAAGTTGAGGGTGGTGTCTCCGCTGTTACTGGTGTTGCCAGGGAGAAAGTTGGTGTTGGTGGGAGAGTCGAGGCTCACGTCGCCGCTGTTCTGCGAGGCGAAAGTTACGTTGGGGTCTGCGCTTGGCGAGCCTATGGAAATATGAGATACACTTTTCATGATAAATAGACAACGCACCGTGAAGATTCAAAGGAATATTGATACGACTCGACTCGCGGCTGCCCGTGGATATTTCAGAAGGTGTATATTGCTCAATCATCGTGTGATCGAAGATACTGTTCCTCGACGGTTCCTGGTCCGAGAACGAGTCGCTGTCGTTGGCCTGCTGCGGCCAGACGCCGCCGCTTTCATCAGCATCCCCCCAAGAGCTGGCGGTATTGTCGGTATTGTCCATGAGTAGAGCTAGTGGGGAACGACGATAGACAGGAAAGGGGAATCTGCGGTAGCGGGGAGAAGATTTGTTGGAGAAGAGATGGGGGGCCTTGAGTTTAAGTATGGTGGTGGTGGTGGTGTGACTCGTGGGCATTGTGCTATCTCAATCGATCGATGGACTGAATAAGCAACGAGCTGGCCTGCAGCGCGTACATGAGCGCGTACGGCGAACAGGGAACGAACAATGGAAAGTCAGGAACAGAACCATCACGTGGTCCACAGAACACGCAATGTCACGGTCATGGGAGGCTGTGACAATGGCGTGGGCAACGCAAGGATGTCCATATGTTGGCCTCGTTTTCTTCCCGGACCCCATGCAGAACTTCGAATATCGCCTCATGGTATACCATTGTCATCCTAATCAAGAATTTTGAATGACTTTTGTCGGCGAATTCCGCACAAACACGATTTCTTGGGCAGCTGGGATTGTTGGGCCACTATGGTTATCAATTAGAATGGGACAAATGCACTAGCCACGGTTTCTGAGTCATAGCTGATATGAAACAACCCCAATTTCTTGCCGATTCATCTACGATCCCTGATAAGCGAGCGCTGGTCTGGACAGAACTTCCTCTACTACAATTACAGACTTTGATGGCGATTGTTCTTTCTGTTGGAATCTTAACCGAGGTCTAGGCGTGCATGCAAAGAAATCTCAATCCCTGTTTCGTATTTTTTTCCCGAAGGAGCGAAACAAAACGACGACCAAAACCTGCATGTGCTGCCGGGCCTATGCGCTCTCCCAAGCAACAGAACGCCCGCCTAGCTCAATCGGATAGAGCGTCAGACTCTTAGCTTGGCAGGGCATCTGAAGGCTGCGAGTTCGACCCTCGCGGTGGGCTATGCCAGAGGTTTTATGAAGTTTTTGCCCGATCTTAGATGTGTGGCGTAGGGTTGCTACCAATGAAGTTTGATCTCGCATCAAGTAAAGGAAAATTAGCGGGGCTGTTAAATTGACCGACTCACACATCACGACACAGCGGCGGCGGCCGACATTATTGTCAAGATAATTATCTTTCCATGCCCGCCTAGCTCAATCGGCCAGAGCGTCAGACTTTTACGCAAGGGTATCTGAAGGCTGCGAGTTCGACCCTCGCGGTGGGCTACACCGATACTTCACAAACCTTTTTGCTCGGCGTAAAAGCGGGTTGGAAAGGTAAGGCTCTGCTACCCTTGGCGTACAGCGTCGGTCCCCGCCGCTGCGTAGGCGCGCAAGCGCCATCTCCTGGTGGGCCCTCTGCCATCTCCGAGTCCTGGGTGATCCGTGCGCGGTGTTCCAGTCGGGACCGAGGCTGCGTCGCGGATCGGATACCTGGTCTCACCTACTGCCGTTGCTTGGTACCTCTCCACCACTTGGTCGCAACGGTGAGCACATTTGCTGCTCTCTCCCCAGCGTATCGCTGATGCCTCTTTAACAGAGTAGTGCTATATCTCATATTTGTTCTATCACACCATTCGACGCACTACTCTGTCATGAGCATTTCTTTGCTCTCTCCCCCATTCCATCATTCTTACTTTGATCCTTTAGATTTCAAGCTCATGTTTTAATTTATTGTATTTCTATTGAGCTTGAAATCCAAAAGCGATCCCTTTTTCGCGCGACCCGCCCTACCCACCCATTTTAATTCTATTCCTCACTTTATTTTTATTTAACTTCCTAATCTATTATCTCCTTACTTCCG